ATCTCTCCTGGATACATAGAAACTTATTCTAGTATCTCTAATAGCTAGATTATAATAAAATGAAAATTAAACCCCCACTGAACAACTCAAGCACAGTTGCACCCTGCCCCTTTGACCATACTTTGACGTAACTGCTAGCTTCTTAACACACTGTATACTTATTGTAAGAAATCATTATGGATGTAGGCTGTCATATCCTTAATGAAATTCCAGGGTCCTTTGCAGTCACAGGAACAAAGACCCTATTAAATCGGCTTTAAAGTCAGGGTGTTGGAATGTAAGACTTGCTAGGGGCTAAGGGGAGGTCCCAAAAGGAGCACCAATGCTAAAGGATCAAATTTCAAAGTGGTTGTGTTGGCTTACGTTTCAGACTCCAGGACCAGGTCAGTATGCAGTGTTGATGAGCCAGAATAGGAACTCGATAAACACACAACGTTTGTGGTCACTAATACTCCACAGAGGAAGAAAAGAATTAAATGCCTTGTGGACAGTTTACTCTCACCTTCATCTTTGCACCTAAGGGACACCATCTTTTAAGAAGGCCCTTCCCTACTAGGAGGCCATTAACATTCCCATTAACTCCTAATTGCAGAGCTATGGTCAGCTTAACATACAGTGCCACATTCTAAATGAAAACATTTTCAGATGTTGTGTTGGAAATGTGTTAGTGACATTTCAACCTTGTGAATAACAAGCCATAAGATTCATTTTCCTCAGAAGGTCTGCCTTAGTCGCTGCAAAAATGCAAAGTTAAGAAAGCAATTACAAATGAAGCTTGAAGGGGATATGCAATTGACCATACTTGTCTGGGTTTCAAGCAATGAGATGCCAATTTATAGCTAATCTCAACTATCACGATACAAGACATCAGTGGGCATAGAAGCCTACTACCATATAGATGTGTGAACTTATACACACAAATGTAAACAGACATATACACTAAACACACATTTTTTCCAACAGAACGATGCATGTGCACTTGTATGAACATTTCAAACAAAATTGCATAAGGTATTTATTTATTTTATTTTCTAATATTTCTTTAGTCCATTTGTCATCCTGCCCCACAAATGTGTATTAAATAATTCTATATGCCAACCGCTGGTCTAAGCACTAGGTAATGTGTTTGGTATTTAGTCAGTTTTTGATATTTTCACATTAGAAAATTTTCTGACCTTTTCATTTTATCCTAACAAAAATAGAACCCTTTTCATAAACCTTCAGCTGACTCTCAAAAAAAAATAAATAAATAAATAAATAAATAATAAGTTTTATAGTTGAGAATATCCTGAGAAGCTTCAATTCATGGGGAAAATCGAGTCCCCAGTTGGCATACAAAGGAGCTCTGGCTGTGTGGTGATTAAAGCAGTTGGCTGCTGACCAAAAGGTTGGAGCTTCACCTCACCAGCTGCTCCACGGAAAAAATGAAGAGACAGTCTGCTTCTGTAATGATTGACAGCTTTAAAGCCCTGTGGAGCAGTTCTACTCTGTCCTCTAGGGGCGCTGTGAGTCAGCATAGGGTCAACAGCAGTGGGTGTGGTTTGGCCCTTGCTTCTGTGAAGACTGACAGCCTTGGAGACCCTGTAGGCAGTTCCACTCTGTCCTCTAGGGGCGCTGTGGGTCGGAATGGACTCCACGGCAGTGGGTGTGGTTTGGGCTTTGCTTCTGTGAAGACTGACAGCCTTGGAGACCCTGTAGGCAGTTCCACTCTGTCCTCTAGGGGCGCTGTGGGTCGGAATGGACTCCACGGCAGTGGGTGTGGTTTGGGCTTTGCTTCTGTGAAGACTGACAGCCTTGGAGACCCTGTGGGCAGTTCCACTCTGTCCTCTAGGGGCGCTGTAAGTTGGAACTGACTCCATGGCAGTGAGTGGGAATACCACACCTTATCTCATTTTAAGATTCAATATGTTACAGATTCTGACAACACAGACAGAACTTCACTTATAAAAAAGAAAATACATAGCATATATTTATGTTAAAGAACAATTTTACATTCATAGGAAATGACTTGATATTACCTGATTTTAATAGAAAAAAATTTATTTGAACATATAATTCCTCCACTCTCTGTGATGAAATGACTGATACTAGGTTTACTTTCCTGCCAAAAACAACCATACCATTTAACAAAAAGCATGAAACAATTGTTTTCAGATCTTTAACCATGGACAGCAGAGGAACATGCTCCTTGAGAGAAGGGAAACACAAAAGGTGAGGACTCCCAGTGCCCAGCTCTCTGCCTGGGTGTACTCTCCAGATCCCGTGTGGGGCGGACCCCAGGCAGAGAACAGCAGCCTCACCCAGTGGACTGGCAGAGCCCATGGGTGGCAACTGCTGAGTCAGCTGGAATGCACTGCGTGTGGGTGTGGGGAAGGGCAGTATGTGCACACGTGCGGACTTCCTGCAGGTCCTCCTCTGGGGGAGGAGTAGTATGTGCACGGGATTAAGTCCATGGCCTGGCAGATGGCACAGCTGCAGGCTAAAAACTGATATGGCCGAGAAGACAGAGGGTTCTGACCCACCCGAGTGCTGACACTTCAGTGAGCATGCCAGGAAACCAGCAGAGAGCACAGAAGGCCACGCCTCAGGAGGAGGAGTCCCTCGCTACAGTACAGGCTGCATTCCGGGCTAAAGACGCATCGCAACAGGTGACCCCAACAAGAAGGACTACGAAGTCCAAGAGTGTCAGCAGACTCCACCAGTAATTTCGCTACCAGTGAGAATGCGTGTTCATGACTTTTAATGGAAGGCAACATATTGTAGACTCTAAAAGAGAGCATTCAAAATACTTTTCATGCCTTAAAAAATTGCCAAAAATCCAAATAAGCAGAAAAATGCAACCCATATAACAGTCTACAAACAGACCTCAAGATGACTCAGATCTTAGAATTAGCAGAAAAAACATTTCAGAAAACAGCTATTATGAATATATTGTAGGGCAAAAAGGAAAATGTAGGCATAATGAGTGAACAGATGGGAGCATTCAGAAGAGAAATATAAATGATGGAAAAGTACCAAATGGAAATTCTAGAACTGAAAAAATACCATAAAGGAAATGTATAGTTGATATGTTTTGACAGTGTTATTGAAATAGAAGATTAGAAATAACAGAAGAAAGGGCTGATATACTTGAAGAAAATGCCCAATATAAAGAGAAGAAAAAATAAAAGACTGATTAAAGAACCAACAAAGCCTTAGTGGCCTGTGGATGTAATAGCAAGTATGTGTAATTGGGATTCTAAAAGGAAAGAAGAAAGAAAAATTGAACAGAAAACATATTTGAAGAAATAATAGTTAAAACTACCCCAAAATAAAAACAAAACAGCACTGAGTTAATGTTACGGATTGAACTGTGTCCCTCAAAAAACGTGTATCGGAAATCCGAACATCCATCCAAGCTTACTGCCATGGAGCCTATTCTGACTTATAGAGATGCCCTTTGGGTTTCCAAGGGGCAGCTGCATGTGACATGCGTGGCTGGGTATCGAACTCAGGTCTCCTGCGTGGCAGGCAAGAATTCTACCACTGACCCACCAGTGTCCTCGCCATGCCCGTGTAAGGATACCTCGGGCCCCCGTTTGGACCCCTGGACCAGGCGTTTGAGGTCTCGCTTACCTGAGGCACCAAAAACCACCACTCGTTTCTTCACAAAAGTGAAACAATGTGGAAACCAGAAGTTTTACTCAGAAACTCACATTTGGAAACATGAGTTTATGTTCGTTTTTCCTAACAGAGGAGTAACAGTGCAAAAAAAAAAAAAAAAAAAAGTGTCTTGGAAAATTCACATATTCTGCCCATGGAAAAGGCAACATGGGGGATATAGTTGATAGGGGCTGATTTATTATCTGTTTCCAAGCTGAGGTTGCCAGTTGATAAGAATCCAGTGCTGGCCCATGGTTGTCCTTGATCTGCTCAAACGGAGTTGGAAGAAAGCAGATTATCACATCAGATTTATGTTGGGAGGATTCCCAGTGCATTGTGAAGCGTTTGGAGGTTTCTGGAGGGATCCATGGTGTTTTTCTACTTCCCTCCCGATTTCGTTATACTTTCGTATAAACGCAGCCTCAGGAGTCATTACTGTCATTTAGTTTATGGACAGCTCTCCTTTACAGTTCAGTAGAGCAAGTTCCTAATTCTTGATTTTCTCTCTCTGGCAACAATACATGTGTCTGCATTATACAAGGAATTTATATCAGGAAATAACACTGGTGACGTCCCTGGGGCGGAAGGAGTCAATATTGTCTTCTATGAAAATGACAGGCCGTTCCAAGGTTACGAACAAGATCGTTTCCTAAGTGTGTCTTGAAATTGAATTTGTAGGTAAGTTAGGACAGGTGCATACAGTTCTTATTCAGGCTGACTTTAGTGCAAGAAAAGGCTCGAAGCCTTTTCAATGATTTAAAAGCTGCGTGTGCAGCAAGTGAAGGTGACTGTGGTGAAGAATTTGCAGTGAGTAGGGGTTGGTTCCATGGTTCCCAAGTGAGGGCAGATTTATATAACATTAAAGGGGAAGTAACAGTTGTCTATATGTGGGAAAGTTATAACTCAGGGACCTACTGTACTCTATCAAGACTGTATGGTGGGAATTTAATCACTAGAAGCCTTAGATAGGCTGCTGATGTAAACTATGCTTATATGGGGGGGGGGAGAAGAATGGAAACATTGTTTTTGTAGCACCATTTGAAAACAGTGCAGAACATTAATTCGTCAAGTCATACCAACCGAAAGTTATTGCTAAACCCCCACTAAACTCCGGCGTGATGAATCAGAAAGCAAGATCCGAGTCACCAGGCTGAGTCAGTGCTGAAGTGAGACTGATACCCGCAAAGGATCAATGGTGTCTTTGCCAGGAAAACATGTGTTTCCTGTTACTCAAGCATCCCCATACAGGATCTGCCATTTGGTAGGCACCCAACAATGAAATCCATCAGCGTCAGTTACACTGAATAAAACGGTTTTAGGAATCCTGTTTCACTGAGCATTTGCCAAGCGTCACTTGCCTTTTTCAAGTCCAGCATGCAGAGTTTGGCTTTCTCTCCAAACTGCCACTTGCACTGTGTGTTAGCATCGTACAACTCTCCCGGCAACTTCTCCGGATACTTGTACTCCTTCGCAGGCTTCGGCCGGTCAGCAAGGCAAACGGCTTGAGCCGTGCTGTAACAGAGAGGAGAAGTGAGAGCCGGCACAGCTAAAAAGGATGGACATGCATTTTGGCCTTTTGTCGTCTACTACAAGTTCACAAAATCTCTCTCCTGCGGTCCAAGATTGCATTTCTTTTCATTACATTAAGATAAGGGCTCTTTATTTTCTGAAATAGTTCATAATGCATTTCACCTTTTCCAGGAGAGCAATTTGTCCTTCATTAAACAATACCAGCCAAACCTACTGTCATCAAGTCAATTCTGACTCATTGCAACCCCCATTGGATTTCTGAGGTGGTAAGTCTTTGTGGAAGTAGATTGCCTCATCTTCCTTCCACAGAATGGCTGGTGGGTTTGAACCACCAACCTTCTGGTTAGCAGTCAAAGGCCTTAGGCACTGTGCCACCAGAGCTCCTTATGCCCATTATTAGAGTTCTCGAACTTATCACGGGGCAAGGAGAGCTGGAATGATCACCACCAGATGTTTGATGCGAGAAGCTCCTGCTACAGACACCGTCTATGCACACTTCCTGCCAGGAAAAATCAAAAGACGGATGTGGCTACTGTAATAGTCAAGGCAAATCCAGTCTATTTCAAAGAGTGGGATTTTCTCTTTCCTTTCTTTCTTTACCCTTCAGATGCTGGAGGACACATGTACAATAGACGGCAGATGCTAGATGTTCTTCAAGCCACAGTACAACGTTTCCCATCAACAGTGCTCTGGCCTCAGGCTAATTTCTGACTTCAATGACAAGGTAAGAAGCAGATGAGTTCTGCTAGAGTTCACTACCAAAACAAAACTGAGCCCAGTGCCATGGGGTCAATTCTGACTCATGACGCCCCCTGTGTTACAAAGCATAACTGCACCGTGGGGTTTCCTTGGCTGCAATCTTTGTGGAAGCAGATTACTAGGCCTCTTCTGCACCATACTGCTAAGTGGGTTCAAACTGCCAACCACAGTCAGTAGTTGAGTACGAAGCATGTGGGCTACCTTGTTGTTGTTAGGTTTTGTTGACTCGGTTCTGACTCACAGCAACCCCACGTACAGCAGAATGGAACACCGCCCAGACCTGCCCCATCCTCACAATCATTGACATGCTAGAGCCCATCGTCACAGCCACTGTCCATCCATCTCATTGAAGGTCTTCCCATTTTTTATGACCCTCTCCTTTACCAAGCATGATATGCTTCTCCAGAGATTGGCCCCTTTTGACAACATGACCAAACTACAAGAGACGAAGTCTGGACATTCTTGTTTCTGAGGAATATTCCAGCTATACTTCTTCTGGGACAGATTCGTTGGTTCTTGTAGCAGCCCATGGTATTTTCAATATTCTTCACCAACAGCACAATTTAAATGCATCGATTCTTCTTCGGTCTTCCTTATTCATTGTCCAGCTCTCACACACATACGAGGCCATTGAAAATGCCATGGTATGGGTCAGGCACACCTTAGTCTTCAAAGTGACATCTTTACTTTTTTATATTTTCAAGAGATTTTTGCAGCAGATTTGCCCAATGCAATATGTCATTTGATTTCTTAACTATTGTTTGCATGGGCATCGACTATAGATCCAAGTAAAGTGAAATTCTTGATAATTTCAATCCTTTTTTCATTTATCATGATGTTGCTTGTTGATGCAGTTGTGAGGATTTTTGTTTTCTTTATATTGAGGTGGAATCCATATTGAAGGCTTCAGTCTTCGATCTTCATCAGTAAGTGCTTCAAGCCTTCTTCATTTTCAGCAAGCAAGCCTGTGTCATCTAGGGACCTTTACAATTCACTAATTGGTGGTTAGGAGCTCTGGTGGCATAGTGCCTAAGGCATTTGACTTCTAAGCAGAAGGTTGGTGGTTCAAACCCAACAGTCACTCCTCAGAAAGAATATTGGGCAATCTATTTCCATATTAGATACTACCTCAGAAACCCAAGGAGGGGTTGCTATGCTGAGATGACTCGACGGCACATAACAACAACAACAATAGATGCTTAAAAACCAACTAATGATATCTCCTCCCATAAACA